GTCAGATGACGCCAGCTCAGAGACATACAAATTAGGAGGGAAACTTCTAACTTGAAGTTCAGAGCACAGTTCTGACTACTGAGGGCCCAGGTTTTGAGTGAATACCAAACTCTCAGAAATATTCTTTTCTCCAAAGGAATCCATAGTTTGAAATCACAGCAACTGTATCAGCACGCAGAGTTAGATTAGAATTCGTATCTCCAATCCCTATTAAGAAGGAATTTAAAAAGACTTTTCAAAATCATTATTTGGGAAATACCCCTAACTCCCACAGTAATAGGATAACAATAGGACAGCAATCCACACCAGAGGGTGTTGTTGCCAAAAAGGACTTAATAATAGTCATCAGCAATGGCCATGATATTAACCACGAGGCCACAGAACAACAGCGATCAAAATGTTGTCAGTCAAGCTAAGAATCTTCCTGCCTCCAGAACTCCTGACAGCTGGATCCTCTAGCAAAGTGCATCCAACAGGCTACACAGTAGATCTCAAGTCTTGGCTGCCAACCAGAGTAGTGACAGCCCAGGGCCATGACTTTACCAATCCTCCTCCAGAAAGAAGTCTGCACCATCTGTGTGCAATGAGCTAAGCCCCTAGTTCCATCACAGCCACTGCCCACCCTAACATGCACCTCCTCCCTTCCTGCACTTCCTCAAAGAGCAGCCCTCACTTCCTCCCTCCCCATTCACTCTGCAACACAATGCAATTAGGCAACCACCTTTCAAAATGTGATCAAAGATCTCTGGCAAGGAAATGTGTCTGTTCTCTTACTGTAAAAAATAAGAGTATGTGAAAGGAGGCCCAACGCCACTCGTCATGAGAGAAATTCAAACCGAAAGCACACACACAAAGTCAAAAGCACAATGAAACACCAATTCACACCCATGAGGATGGCTACCATCAAAAAAGATAGGTAAGAAAAGTGTTGGTGAGGTTGGAGAGAAGCTGGAACCTTTATACACTGTGGGTGGGGCTGTACAATGGTGTGGAAGATCGTCTGGCGCTTCCTCAAATAGTTAAGCGGAGAGTCTGAACGTGACCCAGCCAACTCCGCTCCAAGGAAGTCTCCCAAGAGAAATAAAAGCGTCTGTCTACACAAAAATTTAAACATGAATGTTTGCTGCAATATCATTCATAACAGACAAAAAAAAGAAACGTTCCACATGTTCAACAACTGACAAATGGATGACCAAAGTGGGGCACATACATACAATGGAGCTCAATTCTTCAATAAAAAGAAATGAAGTACTGATATGTGCTACGACATGGACGATCCTGGAAACATCACGCGAAGTGAAAAAAGACAGTCACAAAACACCATATGTTGTATGATTCCATTTATATCAAATGCCTAGAATAGGCAAATCTATAGAAGCAGAAAGTACAATAGCAGTTGCTTAGGGCTGGAGGGGATGGGGAAGCAGGAGGTGAGAACTAAGGCATGCAGGCTTATTCTGGGAGGCAACGAAAACGTCCTTAAAATGGATCGTGATGATGGGTGCACAATTTTGCGGATATACGAAGAAACACTGAATTATACACTTTAAATGGGAGAATCGTATGATATGTGAAACACAGCTCGATAAAGCTGTTCCAAAACAGAAAGAAAGAAAGCCCCTCTCCAAAGCTGCGGGGTAGGGGAGGAGCGGTATTTGGAGACAGGCAGATAAGCCCCACAGGTGCACCCAGCCCTTCCCTCTCTCCCCACAGCACAGCCAAGCCTAGGCTGTGCCACTACTAAGGGCTGACCACAGCCGTAGCAGCAGAAGGAAATTATAGGGAGAAATCTGCCACCCGTTTACCAGATCCGGCTGCTCTTTCAAGCTCCAGATCCACTTCCCTGGCCACCCTTTAAGGTGTGGTCGGCTTTGCCTGCTAGATGCCAATTTCTCAGACCACTTGAGAACACTCCAAAACAACAGCCCCTGTCCCATGGAGTGGAAAGCCGACTGATGAGGTGGTGGAGCAGTTCCTTCAGATGCCCATCCAACATCCATTTCTTGTATCAGGACCTGTCTC